TATGTATATATATGTTGCTATATACTGATGATTGGATACACTTTTCATGTATGCATATTTTATAAGAAAAGTTAGTGTGTATTTGGAGACACTTATATATCCGCATACTTATTAGACACCCATATATCCGCATACTTATGAATACGAATGATAAATTAAACACTGGAACATACATGACTAAACTTGTATGTATGCGAACGTCTAAGCGTAATGTTCAGAAAATATAGCTTTTCATCGTTCTTATAATTACAACCTCATTCTGCATACACTTTTGCATGAATATCAAACAAATATCACGAGTCAAACCGCATATATTGATATTATATTCACACCACTATTCGTATCTAAAGACAGACAGGGGATATATACTGTATCAAAACAGATCACGAACAGAGTAACGATAGGGTGAATATGTGAATATATTTGACAGTGAAGTGCAAATCTACAGTAAAAATCCGCAAAGAAAGCACCAATTTGTGTACATCTCAACAGACATACCCTGTTCTAATCTCTCAGCCGCAAGCACGCCAGCCAGCGCTGACACTGCTAGCAGCAGCACGAGTGTAGAATACGACCGCATCGTAAACTAAGCCTTCAACCTAGTTATACTTTAATTACAGCCAATATATCGTTGTGTCACCTCTCCAAGTACTTGGCCATTTATATAAATACATATCATTCTTAATTCGGTGAAACGGGCAGAACTGAAGTCAGGTATTTACCATGGCCCTCTGGATTTGGGTCTCTGCTAAATTTACGATTTCCGCTATGACAAACCTGATTTCTGCTCGCGACCCTGATACAGAGGGCCATGTATTTACTTCGCATTCTTACATACTGTGCAGTTTCTCAGTATATGTAGCAACCAGACCTAGCAACACGAATCAGAAGTGAGAACCCTTGCAGTTCCATGCCCATTGCACACTTTTCTTTTTTTTTCTTTTTTTTTTTAAACAAACAAACCAAAACCAATATTCTGTTACTTACATCGCTTTCTCTTAGCATGCGCCAAGTGGTCTGCTGGTGTCAATGGTTGGAAGTCCTTACCGTCGAAGTGTAACTCACAATAATATCTAGTGACATACTTTCCTTCTTGCCCTTTCTTCTGTGAAGGTGTTGTGAAATAGTTCTCCGGCCATATCACAGGGTAAGCGCGTTTCCACAGTTGGAATTGAGGATCATCGAGCGCTGGAAACTTATAAGTGTGGGTATGGTCACCACCTGAGCCTGAAGTGCATAAATTTACCGCACACTTAACCATAGTTGCGGTGGTAGAGAAGATAGCAACGTGCGTGTGCACACAGATACGAGATTATGTGTGTTTTAGTACCAACTTGGTAGTATCAGCGATATATTCCCTTTTGTGATGGAATGTTGTTTTGGCGCCACGGCCAAATATCGACCAATAGCAAGTATTTTTTTGATTTGATGAAGTATTCTGGTTGGCTAAGTCTATTTTGGGAATCCGCTCTGGACTAGCCAATGAAAATACGAGCGGATTTGGAATGTAACCTTTTGTACCAGGCAAAAGAGTCGGCCGGCCTGCCCTACGGACTTGTCCGTTCTCCTTTATATTTTACACTTCTGGAGGGTCATGATACATTATCACATTGTGGTCTTGAATATTTAATATTACATATATTGTGCAATATATATACTTCACGGATTTATGTAGCCGCATATTGAGATACTCAGTGAATACAGACAACTATTGGGTCGTATATACCTCACCATGCCTAGTATAGACATTAAAGCGCGTTTGAAACAGTACTTCCCTGCCGACATCGAGCCTTTGACGGGGGATTTCGCCCATTTGAGTGACGGAGTATGTGGACATCGATCGTATAATGGCACTAGTTAATATTGAATCAGACAAACGCGCGTGAAAGTTTTATCCTCTGGAATAACTAAAGGAAAAATACACCAGGCCAACTACATTTCAGTCGATCAAATGCTAAAATGTTTAGTACCACTGATAACTTTGTATGCAAATGTATATTTCACTCCCGCTTGTATAAAACTAGGATCGAGAAGCACTGAAGCTACTAGTTGAAGCCGCCAATTTGCTTGATGGATTATTTTTTACTCAAACATGGGGCGATAGCAATGAGCGAAGAAATCAACTCGTTAATAACTCTGATACAGATGTCCTTCGATATGTGAATCAGAACATGGGTCCCTGGGATAGGTGTGTATATATAAACACACCCACATATATACATACATAATATATACATATATATATATATATGTGTGTGTGTGTGTGTGTGTGTGT